ACCTCCCCACACCAGGAGGCCCCCCCCCCCCCCCCCGCAGCTAGGGAGAGACATCCCTCTTGGGATGAAGAAAGAAAGACCAAGTAGTGTTCAGAAGCAGCTCTATGACAAAGATGGGAACTGGCAGGAGGCAGATTAGGCACTTTAGTACCAGGACCTCTTCTGGCAGTGGCAGTACTTGGGCTGGGTCTGTTTTCAGCCACTGGTCCTTCTCCTATTTGATGGTCTTGGCCTCTCCTGTCTTCTTGCTTCACCTTCTCTTGTCTAGTGGTGACTAAGCAGCCAGTGAGAGTGAAGGAAAAGGGAGCTCCCTGCTCAGTGCCAGCCCGTGGGCTGGAGCCATGGCTCCTATCCAGAGGATCCTGGTTCTAGGCCATAACTACCTTATCTAGCATTTCTTCAGTGAGACTTTCAGCTTTGTGGGCTATTGCAGGTACCCAGGAGGCTTGGCATGTAGTGGTTGCTCCTACTTGCATTATTTATTTCCTTTTCAGGATAGCCTCAAAGTATCCAGGCTGCTTCAGGTAGTGAAGAGATACTTCCCTTTAATGTTAAGAGTGTCTCTAGGTTACTGGGTCCTGGTTGTAGGCAGGGAGCAAGTTGTTTGGTTTGGCAGTGATTATTAGTCCCTTTCATTAGGCTGTTGGTTCCTTGCTGAAGAATTTGGCTACAAAGAGTTGCCAAGATAGCTGGGCCAGGAAGAAAGCGCCGCACCCCTGACCCAGACACTGTTGCCGACCCTGGGGCACTCTGGCTGTCGATCAAGCGGCTCAAGATGTCTGGTGGGGCCAGTGCCACAGGGCCAAGGAGAGGGCCTCCAGGATTGGAGGAGGCCACTAGCAAGAAGAAGCAGAAGGATCGAGCAAACCAGGAGAGCAAAGATGGAGATCCTAGGAAAGGTAGGAGTGGCATTCCCAGAGTGCTCATGGGGTATGCAAACTGGGTGTAGGGAGATGACTGTTTTCCTCCCTCCCATCTTGGTTTGATGCTGAGAAAAGGACCGATGGCAGGCTGGGTAGAGTCTTGACTTTAAGCCTGAGGTATTTGGCCAAGATCCAGAACATGGTCTTTTGAGTTGTGGGGTCTTAGAATCTGGCTTCTCATTGTTGTCTCTTCTTTCCTTTGTTGTCAGGGTCAACATCCACTCCTCAAGAGGAGCAGACCAAAGAGGGTGAGTAATGAATGGGGCTTTACAGTGCTACAGGAGGGAAAGGAGCATTGGGAATTTAGCTCCCATCTGGAGCAGTCCCCATTGGTTTGAGTCTCTTACCTGTATATCCCCATCAGCAACTTATGGAGACCCTTGTAATCTCTTTGCCATTTCCCCCATAGAATTGTTGCTTGATTGGAGGCAGAGTGCAGACGAGGTGATTGTCAAGCTGCGAGTAGGAGCAGGCCCTCTGCGACTAGAGGAGATAGATGCTGCTTTCACTGACACAGACTGTGTGGTGAAGCTTCCAGGTGTGCTCATCTGCTTAGAGCAGTGTTGCATTTGAGTTTTCTGTTAGCTCTCACTCAACTCACTGCTACTATTCTCTTTCCAGATGGTCGGCAATGGGGGGGTGTCTTCTTTGCTGAAATAGAAAGTTCTTGTGCCAAAATCCAGTCCCGAAAGGGTGGTCTTCAGTTGGCACTGCCCAAGAAGGTGCCTCTGCTCACATGGCCCTCTCTCCTGGTAAGTTCCAGTAGAAGGTACGGGGGTTGCAGATACCCACTGTAGTCAGTGAACAGGGCCTAACTGTTATATCTTTGGCAGAAGAAACCTCTAGGGACCCAAGAGCTCGTGCCAGGGTTGCGGTGCCAGGAGAATGGGCAAGAGCTTTCTCTCATTGCTCTGGATTCAGGCCCTGAGCCCCGCAGGGCTAAACAAGAAGCCCGGAACCAGAAGCGGGCCCAGGGCCGTGGTGAGGTAGGCTCAGGGGCTGGCCCTGGGGCACAGGCAGGTCCCAGCGCCAAGAGGGCCGTCCACCTCTGCAGAGGGCCTGAAGTTGAAGGGTCCAGGGATAGCCCTGGTCCCCAGGGTGATGCCCCACCCTTCTTGGCTGACTCGGCCACCCAGGTGAGACCTAGGAACCTGTTGCGGCGGGGGGTGTGATCTGGAGTGGGTGCAACCTGCCAGACCCAGAGCTGATCCTGCCCATAATTTTCCTATGATCAGGTTGAGGTTGAGGAACAGCTCCATGTATCACCACTGAACTCGCAAACCTGTCTCCTGGCCTCAGAGAAGAATTTAGCCCTTTTGACAGGAGAGAAGACAGTATCCCCCAGGAATGACTCAATTTCCCCAGCCATGGTCCGGAACAGAGACCCTGGGAAAGATGACCATGTCAAAGAGGCAATGGCAGTAGCAACAGATGCTGTAACTTTGGTGGACGGTAAAAGTGGGGCTAAGGGTAGCCAGGTAGAGCCCTAGGTTGGGTTGCAGGGTTGGTGAGTGGGCAGGGAGGAATATATCAACAGGTTAGAATTTGTCCTGGGTGGGTGGCACTGAGCTATGGTCTCAACATAGAACCTGAGTCCATGGTGAACCTGGCATTTGTCAAGAATGATTCATATGAGAAGGGGCCAGATTCAGTGGTGGTACATGTCTACGTGAAGGAGATCCGTAGGGACACTTCTCGAGTGCTTTTCCGAGAGCAGGACTTCACACTTATCTTCCAGACCAGGTGGGTAGGTGCTGGGACTGGGGAAGACAGTGTCCCATAGTGTCCCTCAAATGCAATAGATGTTTCAAGCTTTTGCTTTTGTCTTTCTTCCTTCCCTGCTGTGCTACTGCAGGGACGGAAACTTCCTGAGGCTGCATCCAGGCTGTGGGCCCCACACCATCTTCCGTTGGCAGGTGAAGCTCAGGTGGGTGGTGCCCGGTCCCACCACTGTGCTTGTCCCACCTGGGTTTCCATCTCTCTGGACTGTCTAGCCTGGCATCTACTTCACCTGAAGTCCCTGAACTCAGATTTTTCTTTCAGGAACCTGATTGAACCTGAGCAATGTACCTTCTGTTTCACGGCCTCTCGAATCGATATCTGCCTCCGGAAGAGGCAAAGTCAGCGCTGGGGGGGTCTGGAGGCCCCAGCTACACGAGGTCTGCATACGAGCTCCCTTCATTGCTTCAGCCCTGCTCAATCAGGACCCCTGTCCCACCAGCAGGGGGCTGCTGCTAACCACCAGCCCCCTCCTTCCCCCTTTTTAAGGTGCAGTGGGTGGTGCAAAGGTTGCCGTGCCGACAGGTCCAACTCCTCTGGATACAACCCCTCCGGGAGGTACCCCTCACCCCCTGACAGGACAGGAAGAAGCCAGGGCTGTGGAGAAGGAAAAACCCAAGGCTCGATCCGAGGACACAGGACTGGATAGTGTGGTGGCCCGTACCCCCTTGGAACATGTAGCCCCAAAGCCAGAGCCACACTTGGCCTCGGTGAGAATCCTGGCTTGGGAAGGGCCAAAAATGAGAGGCTAGAGTGCCTCAGGACTGCTCTCATGCACCTTTGCTCCCACAGCCCAAACCTACGTGTATGGTGCCTCCAATGCCCCATAGTCCGGTGAGTGGAGACAGTGTGGAGGAGGAGGAAGAGGAAGAGAAGAAAGTGTGTCTGCCAGGCTTTACTGGCCTTGTCAATTTAGGCAACACCTGCTTCATGAATAGCGTCATTCAGTCTCTGTCTAACACTCGGGAACTTCGTGACTTCTTCCATGGTGAGGACAGGGCCAGGAACCTGGGGCATAGACAGAAGGGGTGCCTTTCTCCCTCACACTTCTGCTTGGCTGCCGTTCCTAGACCGATCCTTTGAAGCGGAGATCAATTACAACAACCCATTGGGGACTGGTGGACGTCTAGCCATTGGCTTTGCTGTGCTGCTCCGGGCCCTGTGGAAGGGCACTCACCATGCCTTTCAGCCTTCTAAGCTGAAGGTGATCTGTGATCACTACCATCCTTGCCTGGAAGAGGGTGGAGAGGGCTAGTCAGCTGGTTGCTAAGATTTCTCACTAACATTTGGGCCACTACTTCTAGGCCATTGTGGCTAGCAAAGCCAGCCAGTTCACAGGCTATGCACAACATGATGCCCAGGAGTTCATGGCTTTCCTGTTGGATGGGCTTCATGAGGACCTGAATCGGATCCAGAACAAGCCCTACACTGAGACTGTAGACTCAGATGGGCGGCCTGATGAGGTCAGTCAAGGCGGGGGTTGCAGAATGGAGGTCTCGTGTGTCCCAGCCCTTAGGTTTCCTTAGTATTCAACACTCTTCTCAGGTGGTGGCTGAGGAAGCATGGCAGCGACACAAGATGAGAAACGACTCTTTCATTGTGGACCTGTTTCAGGGCCAGTACAAGTCAAAGCTGGTGTGCCCTGCATGTGCCAAGGTGCGGTGGGCTCCCCCAGAAAGATGCCCCTTTAGTTGGCTCAGCTTGCCTGGTCAGATTAAATTAAGGCATTGTGTATTTTCAGGGAGTGCAGGGCAAAATTGGGGCAAGGAAGCTTGTAGAGAGGCATTAAATTCCACTGTGGGCTGAAGAAATCAAGCAGGGTTAGCTTCCTTACTGAAGTTTGGATGCAAAGGTTTGGTGGCAGAGTTGTGGGAAAGGTTGGAAAGGCATGTAGGATGCAGAGGAAGGGAAACTGGGGAAAATGGCTAAGGTACCAGAAAAAGGACTGTGCCAGAAAAGGGGTATTCATCACTCCTGTGTGTTCTCTTGCTCCATCTAGTGCTTTTTTTTTGGTCTTTTTGAGACAGGGTCTCCCTGTAGCCCTAGCTGTCCTGGAACTCACAGAGATCCGCCTGCCTCTGTTTCCCAAGTGCTGAGATTAAAGGTGTGCACCACCACACCTGGCTTCATCTAGTGCTTTTGAGACTGAGAGTTTGCTGGTTGGCTATGAGAAGCCTGAAAGTCACTAGAGGGCCTGGATTAGGCTCTCCAGGAATGAGCATCTTGTCCCTGTGACCACACTAGTGTCACTTTTGTATTTACAGGTCTCCATCACTTTTGACCCATTCCTTTATCTGCCAGTGCCCTTGCCACAAAAGCAAAAGGTTCTCCCCATCTTTTATTTTGCCCGAGAGCCCCACAGCAAGCCCATCAAGGTGAGGAGTGAGCTTCTGGGATATCCCAGAGAATGTAGGCTCACTTCCCCTACTGACTTTATCATTGTTGTCACAGTTTCTGGTGAGTGTTAGCAAGGAGAACTCCAGCGCAAGTGAAGTTCTGGATTCCCTCTCTCAGAGTGTCCACGTGAAGCCTGAGAACCTGCGCCTGGCTGAGGTATATTTGTCTTTCCCAGGTTTCTTACATATGTAGTCACATATGTGTCCTTATAGCAGACAGACATGTACAGTCACTGGCATCTGAGCACATGTATGTAAATGTGTGATTGCATAATCAGGCATTGGGCTATGTAACATGGGTGCTTTCAGTTCTCAGCATCATCAGGGTTTGAGGATGGACCATAACTCTTTCCCTTTCTGGATAAGGAACTTGAGCTGTGGTGCTGTCAGGCCATTTGCCCTTGTTCTTCCTCTGTCCTTTTCCTTCATTTTGTCCTAAATCTATATGCCAGCTTTCCCTGAAAATTCCTACCCTTAAACTCAGCAGTGCCATTTGTCCCAGGGAGTAAGAGTATGGAGGAGGCTTTTCATAGATGTCCTTTCCATGATAACATCATGCAGTCTCAGCACGATCTTGCTACTTATTTATTGTAGGGTGGAGGCCTTTATTGTGGAAGGCTGGTGTAGTTGATCCCTTCTCAGGTGTTGTCTTTCAGGTACTCTAATGTATTCTCTGCCATTGAGAAGCATACTCCTCTTCTAGTCCACAAACCCTGTCGTGCCCCATCCCTGTAGACCTCAATGCAGGGTCAGACCTTTCCTGGTGCTGTGGAACAGATCTAGAGAGAAGGCTTATCTTCACATGGCATCTATATGTTCTTTATTCCCAGGTAATTAAGAATCGCTTCCACCGTGTGTTCTTGCCTTCCCACTCACTGGACACTGTGTCCCCATCTGACATGCTCCTCTGCTTTGAGTTACTATCCCCGGAGCTGGCTAAAGAGCGAGTAGTGGTGCTAGAGGTGCAACAGGTGAGTGGGGGCCAACCTGATGCCACAAGGCCCTGGCGGGGGCTTGGTCACTCCTGCCTGGCTTTGCTGAGCCAGACGACCCATCCTAGCGCCCCCAGGTACCCAGCATCCCTATCTCCAAGTGTGCAGCCTGTCAGCGGAAGCAGCAGTCAGAAGATGAAAAACTGAGGCGCTGTACCCGTTGCTACCGTGTGGGCTACTGCAACCAGTGAGGACCCCCATGGTCTCCCCCTCCCTTTTTCTTTGCCCTCCCCTCACTTGCTAATCTGTCCTCCCCTCCACACAAAGGCACACGTTTTAATGCCTACACCTGCCACTCTAACCAGGCCCTGGGGGAGACATGGCTGGCATACCTAGTTTCCAGGGCTGTAGCCCAATAGGAATTGGGGCTAAGGCCCTGTTATCTTCCCCTTCCCTCCAGGTTTTGCCAGAAAACCCACTGGCCTGACCACAAGGGCCTCTGCCGCCCTGAGAACATTGGCTATCCCTTCCTGGTCAGTGTACCTGCCTCACGCCTCACTTATGCTCGTCTTGCTCAATTACTAGAAGGTTATGCCCGGTAAGTGCCCAGGGATGGATAGGATAAAGGGAGCAGAGGTGCTCAGGTGATGAACCAACTCTGGTCAGTTTTACTTACCTTCCTGTCTGTTTACAGGTACTCTGTGAGCGTATTCCAACCACCCTTCCAGCCCGGCCGTATGGCCTTGGAGTCCCAGAGCCCTGGCTGTACCACAATGCTTTCCACTAGCTCCCTGGAGGCTGGGGATAGTGAGAGGGACCCCATTCAGCCTTCTGAGCTCCAGTTGGTGACCCCTGTAGCTGAGGGGGATACAGGAGCTCCCCGGGTGTGGGCAGCCCCTGATAGGGGCCCTGTGCCTAGCACCAGTGGAATTGCTTCTGAGATGCTGGCCAGTGGGCCTATTGAGGGTGGCTCCTTACCTGCCAGTGAGAGGGTGTCCCGGCCTGAAGGTAAGCTCTGCTGAAAGGCTCTGAGGGCTGGAGTGAAAGGTTGTGGGAAAATTGTTTAGATCATGGTGGATAACCATTTGATTTCGATGATTTCTTGTAGCTGCTGTGCCTGGGTATCAGCACCCAAGTGAAGCCATGAATGTCCACACACCCCAGTTTTTCATATATAAAATTGATGCATCAAACCGAGAGCAGCGACTTGAGGACAAAGGTATCCGAGGCAGTGGGTGGAAGCCATAGGGTGGCTTGGGCTAGCTGTTCTCTATAGCTACATGACTACTGTCTCTGCTTATTTCCAGGAGATACCCCACTGGAGCTGGGTGATGACTGTAGCCTAGCTCTGGTGTGGCGGAACAATGAGCGTCTACAGGAGTTTGTGTTGGTAGCCTCCAAAGAGCTGGAATGTGCTGAGGATCCAGGCTCTGCTGGTGAGGCTGCCCGTGCTGGCCATTTCACCCTGGACCAGTGCCTCAACCTTTTCACACGACCTGAGGTGCTTGCACCTGAGGAAGCCTGGTAAGGATAGAGTAGCAGGCAGGTAGTAGGGCAAGGTGAAGGGGAAACTAGCTCGTCCTGACCTCTCTCCTATCCTACTAGGTACTGCCCACAGTGCAAACAGCATCGTGAGGCCTCCAAACAGCTGTTGTTATGGCGCCTACCAAATGTGCTCATTGTACAGCTCAAGCGCTTCTCCTTTCGTAGTTTCATTTGGCGTGACAAGATCAATGACTTGGTGGAGTTCCCTGTTTGGTGAGCAATGAGTGTGCCCTGATGACTGTGGACAGGGCATGGGGACCAGGAGATATCCTGGGCTCCTGCCACCTGACTGCCTCACCCTTCTCTGACTGGGACTGTAGGAACCTGGACCTGAGCAAGTTCTGCATTGGTCAGAAAGAGGAGCAGCTGCCTAGCTATGACCTGTATGCTGTCATCAACCACTATGGAGGCATGATTGGTGGCCACTATACTGCCTGTGCACGCCTGCCCAATGATCGCAGCAGCCAGCGCAGTGACGTGGGTGAGGGCACATACAGCCAGCAGGTTAGGCGGTAGGGGTGGTGGTAAAGGATATGTTCATACTCTTCCCACCCTGCTGTAGGCTGGCGCTTGTTTGATGACAGCACGGTGACAACGGTAGACGAGAGCCAGGTCGTGACCCGTTATGCCTATGTACTCTTCTACCGACGGCGGAACTCTCCTGTGGAGAGACCCCCCAGGGCAGGTCACTCTGAGCACCACCCAGACCTAGGCCCTGCAGCTGAGGCTGCTGCCAGCCAGGTGAGGCATTGGGGAGGTCTTATATACTAGTTGGGGGGCAGGGCTGAGGGACATTGCTTTATTTCCTCCAGCCATAGGCCCTTCAAGCCTTGGAACTTACAGAAATTCAAGACAGGTTTCCGTAATATTAAAGCCTCACCCAAGGGCATCCTGGAGGATATCCTAGGGACACATTCAAAGGTACATATATACCAACATGCTGCCACCAGTGTGCACCAAAGTACAACTCAAAGAAATGCCCTGAATCTTACTAGGCACTGTGCTGTAAACAGATGATACCTGACTTCTCCCAGCTTTCCCCTACATGTCCTCCATATACCAGCCGATAGACCCTCATTTGTGATTATGCCTGTGTTCTGGTGTGTACTCAATATAGCCCAGTCAGGGCTTCCTGTAACCTCCTGTTGGCTATCACACTCTGAGGTGAGCAACTATCCCTACCGAACCTTCAGGCTCTTCTGTCTCTTTTTACTAACAATATTGTGCTATAGGTCCATGAGCACAGTCAATTTGCTGCTCCTTTCAGTTACCTATACTCCCTTGAGTGCCCTCTATCAGGCTCAGCGAGATACCTCTAAAAATACAGTGGTCAGGATCTGGACATGAGTAATCCCAAAGAGACTGTCAAGGGATTGGCTACTTATCTGCAAGGTAGTCCCCTCTGTGGGAGATCTGGACTAAAAACTTGACCAGATAAGTCCCCACCCTTGGCCATGAAAAGCTACATGTGGATTGAAAGCTGCCTTGAGGAAACCAAAGACTGTCGGGATTCTCACACCCTAATGCTCTTAGCCTAGATAACCATGATATTGGCACCTACTTCCCTGCTGCTTGATCTGGAATGTGAGGGCTTAGCCCAGTTACTCTGGTGGGACTGTCATTGCTAGGGGTCTCAGGGACACGGGGGCCTCCCCATCCTTTGGGTGCTGATGGCCGTTTCCACATACCATAGGCTTCCCGGATTTGGCAGGAGCTCGAGGCCGAGGAGGAGCTGGTGCCTGAGGGGCCTGGGTCTCTGGGTCCTTGGGGGCCCCAGGACTGGGTGGTCCCCCCACCACGAGGCCCCACCACACCAGACGAGGGCTGCCTCCGATACTTTGTCCTGGGTACCGTGGCAGCTTTGGTGGCCCTTGTGCTCAACGTATTCTATCCTCTGGTATCTCAGAGTCGCTGGAGATGAGCTCACCTGCAGGCACCTGCTGTGAGCTGGCCCATCTGCCTGCCTGCCAGGCCATGCCTGCCTTTGTGGTGGGAAACAACTCTGGGCTCTGGGCCTCGGTGTATGTATCTGGTGGGAGATGGTGGGGACTGTGGCCTCTGCAGGTGCAGAGCATCTTTGGGTGGGTATCCATCTAGCTGTCTGTTCCTTCTGTTGCTCTGACCCCTGTCCTAGGGGTTGGCCCTGCTGAAACTACTTCCTGTATTTAAAGTGTTAATAAAGCGAGTATTCAGGCCCGATCTTGTCTCTCTGTCTGAACGCCGCTGCTGTCTGTGCGCCTGCCTAGGGGTCCTCCCTTGGGTGCCGGGGCTCTGAGCCAGCACCCCCGGGATGCCAGGCGGCATGCTGGGCAACCCCCAACCCCTGTCCTCATATTCTGTTGCAGGGACTAGGCCCTGGCCAGGCCCCCGAGGTGGCCCCCACGCGGACAGCCCCTGAACGCTTCGCCCCCCCTGTGGACCGCCCAGCCCCCACGTACAGCAGCATGGAGGAGGTCGATTAGCAGGTCCCTGGCTGATGGAGGGACTGGGTTTGGGGGAATCCCATACAGAGGGCCATCTCTTTGCCGCTTTTCCTTCTCTGACCCAGAGGACACTGGCTCCATCAATGGGTAGTTGGGGGGCATGATTTGGGGGTGGGAACCTCACAAATTGTGACCTCATGCCAACTGGTCCTAGTGGGCCTTGGCTTTTTTAGCTGCCTACAGTGCTGCGCGTTCAATTCTCAGTTGTACCTTCAATTCTTTCTGACCTGCATTATAAACATAATTTTATTCTAAAAATTGTAATTTTTTTTTTGCATTTTGGAAGTGATTGCTGCTGTTTAAATATATTTTAAAAATAAATAATAAATAAGCAGACAGTGACTGATCCACAACATGCTGTGGCTACCTCCCCTCCCTTCTTATCTGGTATATGTGTATGCCAAAGATCCCGAAAATGCTCTAGTTTGAGGGCAGATGACAGGGTCACAGCTCATTTCCTCTGGGTCATTGTATTAGTTACTTTTCTTGTTGCTATGATAAATACCTGACCAAAGCAACTTAAGGGAAAAAGGGTGTATTTTGGCTCACAGTTTGAGGGTACAGTCCATCATGGCAGGGAAGGCATGAGGCAGCTAGTCACACTGCTTTTATCCAAGTCAGAAAGTAGGAAGTGATGAATGCTAGTAACACAGCTCACTTTGTCCATTTTTATTCAGTCTGGGACCCTAGTCATGGAATGAATGGTGCTGTCCACATTCAGGTTGGGCCTGATGGGTGATTCTAGATACGTCAAATGTCAAATTGGCAATATTAACCATCCCAATCATGAAGTGCTCTCTGGAGGCTGCCTGCTGCTGTCATTGGTTGTGGCTTCCACACTGAGGTGGCTTTAATCCTTATTAGATAAGAACATAGAACATCCGAGGGGTAGAATAGTACTCAGGAAGCTCTGAAGCTGATAGAATGGGGTAAAGGATACAAGCACTGGAGATGACAACCAGACAGCAGGTCAGAGACTACTTGGTGGGAGGCAAAGGTCCCTCCTTTCTTGCTCTCAAACCTCCTGTCATTTGAACACCACCTTCATCGCCTGTGAGAACAAAGCAGAAAGAAGACTGCTGTGAGTTAGATTGTGCTATGAAAAGAGGATAGGCAGGAGGACCAAATCCAATCTTGTCTGACTTTCTGCTAGTTGGAAGGTTCTGGGCACTCAGACTTTGCCTCCTGGCAACTGCCCCAGGCTAACTCATCCATAGTAAGCCTGCAAGCATACCTAGCTTCAGTCTTTGTAACCTTTTATACATTTTTTCCCCTCCAATACCGAGAACTAAGGGCTTTGTGCTTGCTAGGTAAGTGCTGTACCACAGAGCACTCCTCAACTCCTGTGTACACAAGCCTCCTTGCCTCTCTATGGATAATGCTGTCTCCTATACCCTTCAATTATTTGTGAGTAGGATGGGTATCTCTGGAGCAAGATGGGAACAAAGGTAATTAGGAAGCAGGTATTTAGAGAAGTCAGAAGCAGGGGTGTAGAGATGGCTTAGCAGTTGAGTGCTTGCTGCTCTTTTTGAGGACCCAAATTCAGTTCCTAGCAACTATGTCAGGTGGCTCACAACTGCCTGTAACCCCAGCTCTAGAGAATCTACCACCCTCTTTTGGACTCCATTGGCACCTGTATACATAGGGCAGACACACACATACACACAGATCTAAAAAAAAAAAAAAAAAAACTAGAGAAACCAGAAGCAATAAGAGGGCAAGCTCCAAAGATCTGTCCCCATCCCCAAACCCATGGAGATCTTGGCTAGTAGTCCTCAGCTTCAAAGATGGAGTTAGGAGTAGCAGTGAGCAGAAGGAACTCTTGGAGAATTCTAACCACATGATCAATACTGGCTTTTTCTCATGGAGACAACAATGGGGGACCATGGGGGGTTTTTGGTGGCTTTGGAGAGCTGGGTGTGGGACCTTGCAGAAATGGAAATGCTAAAATGTGTGCTGGTGCTGTCAGCTATGTCTTTGCTGCAAGGTCTGGTAGGCATGGACTATATAACAGGATTGTACTGGGTCTTTATTATATACAGTACTGTTATTGCAGAGCCCATAACACTGTACCTTTCTGTGGCCTCTGCTACCTCTATGTTATCAGCCTATGGTAAGGGGCCTGTTCATGGGCCTGGATGCCAAGCCCTACCCCATGCCATGATGGGCTTTGCTAGCTTCTACCTGGCTTTTCTACTTGGTCATTTTTCCTGGATTCAGTGCTCCTGTAGGAAGGCTAACCCACTGACTAGGTCCATATAACTTTTCATTTCTGCTCTGTGTAATTCATGATTTCAAAAGGCTGATTACCTGCCTCTACCACTTCCACATAGCACTGGTGGGGCTATTGCCTCATGCTGTTATACTGAGCTGTAGGATCCACAGGCTGTCATGAGGGAACCAGGAAAAGGAGGCCATTGTCTGACCTATGGGACTTGGTGATGGTGAAGTCTAATTTGTTTGTGTATATGAATGTATATGTGTGTGCATGTGTGACATATGTATGAATGCTGTGTGTGTGTGTGTGGTATTTGAATGCTCTGGAAATAGGGATATAGCACCAGATTTTTAAAAAATTTTTTGTTTTTTTTAAAAAATTTTGATGTTATCTTTTTGAGGCAGGGTTTCCCTGTAGTCCCAGCTGGCGTGGAACTTGCTATGTAGACCAGGCTGGCCTTGAACTCACAGAGAGCGGGTCTTTTTTTTGAGACTTTAGTGTGTTGTGTGTTTGTGTGTGTGTCACACACACCACTCTAAGTCAGTTCGCTCCTGCCACCATGTGGGATAGGGAGATCAAACTCCGGTTGTCAGTCCTATGGCAAGTGCAGAGCCATTTCACCAGCCCATCATTAAAAAAATATTATCTTTGTGTATGAGTGTTTTGACTGCATGTATGTACCTGTGTCGTGCAGTGCCCTCAGAGGCCAGAAGGTGTTGGATCCCCTAGAACTGGAATTACTGTCAGCTGTTAGCTGCCACATGGGTGCTGGACCAGGGACCTCTGGAAGAGCAGCCAATGCTCTTCGTTTACATTTATTTATTTATTTATTTGTCTTTTTGAGACGACGAGTTCCATGTAGCCCCTGTGGGCCTGAAACTTATGCTAGACTAGGCTGGCCTTGAACTCACAGAGATCTGCCTGCCTCTGCCTCCCAAGAGCTGGGACTAAAGGCGTGTGCCTCCATGTCCGACTTTTTCTTCTATTATTTATTTTTTTTATTATTTTATGTGTATTGCCTGCATGTAGGTAAGTGCACCCATGTCATGCAGTGCCCACAGAGGTCAGGGATTCCACTGGAATTGGGAGTTATGGATGGCTGTTAGCTGCCATGTGGATGCTAGGAAATGGAACTAGGGTCCTCTGCAAGAGCAACCAGTGCTCTTAACCCCTGAGCCATCTCTTCAGCTTGCTTCATTTGTTTTTAAGTCAGGGTCTTGCTATGTTTCCTAAGTTGGCCTCCAAAATGCCATCTTCTTGTCTAAGTTTCCAGAAGAAGCTGGGATTACAGGCACAGGCCATTGCACTGGGCTTGACAGATTTTTTTACAAAAAAATTTTTTTTTGTCTTTTTGAGACAGGGTCTCTCTGTAGCTCCAGCTGTTCTCAAACTCACTATTGTAGACCAGGCTGGCCTTGAACTCACAAAGATCCACCTGCCTCTGCCTCCCAAGTGCTGGGATTAAAGGTGTGCGCCACCACCCCCAGCCCTACAAATTTTTTTTTTATTAAATTTTTTAATGTGTATGAATGTATTGCCTGCATGTAAGTGCACTCCTGTAAGGCCTGAGTAGGTCAGAAGGTGTCAGATCACCTGGAACTGGAGTTATGAACCATTGTTAGCTGCCATGTGGGTGCTGGGAATCGAACTCTGTCCTCTGCAAGAGAAGTCAGTGCTCTTAACCTCTGAGCCATCTGTCCAGCCCTGACAGGAGTTTTTTGGTTTTTTTTTTTGAGACAGGGTCTTCCTGTAGCTGGAACTGGCCTGGAACTCGATATGTAGACCAGGTTGGCCTTGAACTCACAGAGATCCTCCTGCCTCTGCCTCCCAAGTTCTGGGACTACAGGCATGTGCCACCATGCTGGGCAGGAGATTTTTTTTTTAAAAGTATCTTTTTTTTTATAATTTCACACATGTAAACAATGTAATTTTTTGTTGCTTTGTTTTTGAGACTGGGATTCACTATATAGCCTTGGCTGGTCTGGAACTCACAGCGCTCCACCTGCCTCACCAGGGATTAAAGCCCTGTGCCACCACCCCCCAACTTCACCCTCTTACTCTCTCCATGGAACTCCCAACACATTCCCCACTCCTCTTCATGTCTTCTCCATTTATTTTTTATTTTTTTGTAATTCACTGAGTCCAATTGGAATGTTGGAATGGTGACTTATCTTGGCTTGATCTTGTTGGCATGAGACAGTAAAAGAAATCACAGAACTTCTGTGAGGTCGCACCTCGCATTTCCTCCCTTCCCTCTTCTGTAAGTGGGCACTTAAAAAGCACCAAATTTAGCCGGGTGTGGTGGTGCACGCCTTTAATCCCAGCACTCGGGAGGCAGAGGCAGGCGGATGTCTGTGAGTTCAAGGCCAGCCTGGTCTACACAGTGAGTTCCAGGACAGCTGGGGCTACAGGGAGACCCTGTCTCAAAAAGACCAAAAAAAAAAAAAAACCACCAAATTTAGGTGGTCCCTCGATAGACCATTTTGCACATTTTCTGCAGTAGGGGGGATTTAGCGGAATTCACGTTCCTTTAACTGTTTCCATGACAATTCAAAAGCCATGACGTTGAAAAACGCGACAAGAACTCACTTTTGCATTGGGTCAGATTCCCAGGACTGACGGAGAAAAGGCCACGCCCGCGTCCTCCCGCGCTGCAGACTACTTTCTCTCCACGCCCGAGGCCAGCTTCTTAAAGTCCCGTCGACCCCACCCTGTCAGCAGCCTAGAACCACAAAGACGGAAACCACCTGCCCGGAAAAACCGGTCCGGCTGCGCCGCGGGTCTTCAATGGCTCTGACCAGCAGGAGGGCCCCGCCCCCTCCGATTGAGGACGCCTACCATTGGTTCTCTTCGAGGCTTCGTTCTCTTATTGGTGAGTGGGCGATTGTCGCCGTGCAGTTGCAGCCCAAAGTTTCTTTTGGTTTCCGGTGTCCCTGCTATGGCGACTCCGGATTCGTTGTCTCTGTTCACCGGCCTGGGCTTGAGCGAGCACAAGGCCCGGGAGACCCTCAAGAACGCGGCTCTGAGCGCTCAGCTGCGCGAGGCGGCGACCCAGGTGCGATCTCTCCGCCCCAAGCAGCGTGGGGCTGGGCCAGCTCTTGATCCTGCCAGGTGTCCCATCTTGCCTGTCTCACTGGGCGCGGGGCTTCTCCCCTGACCCCTCTGACCCCAGGCGCAGCAGACTCTGGGCTCTACCATCGACAAGGCTACCGGGACCCTGCTCTACGGTTTGGCTTCCCGACTCAGGGATACTCGACGTCTTTCTTTCCTCGTAAGCTACATAGTCAATAAGAAGATCCACTCTGAGCTCCAGCTGAGCGGTGAGACCCCACCCCCTGCTCCTATTATCAGTTGCACCTCCAATCTCTTCAACCAAGACCTCCTTTGGCTTTTTCTGCCAAGTTCTTCATCTTCTTTCTGGACCCCAGGTTCTGAACAGACACTGGGGCATAAAAGGGGAGGCCTATGGTATGGATAGGGGAACTGTCACAACGAGGAGCCTGCTTCAGAACACATGCTTCTTTTTCCTGTGGCTGCATGGTTTCTCTTCCCTGGTGCCAGTTCTTAACCTCTCAGGCATCTATGTGGTCAAACTGATCTTTCATGGCATTTAGGGTCCTATCTACTCACTTCTTGGAGGTGAGATGCCTTCAATTCATTACTTCTTTCTCAGCTGCTCTTGAATATGTGCGGAGTCATCCTCTGGATCCCATCGATTCTGTGGACTTTGAGAAGGAATGTGGTGTGGGTGTCCTGGTGACGCCGGAACAGATTGAGGAGGCTGTAAGTATGTTCCCCAGGTATCAGTTGCCTCCCCCAGACCTGGCCCTGGAAAACATAGCTTAGCTTCTCTACTCAGCCCTAAAGAGTGTGGGTCTCTAGAATTCAATATCTGAAGGGGCTTTCCTGAACCATATGGTTTGGCTTTCTGCAGGTGGAGGCCACCATAAATAAGCATCGTCCCCAGCTCCTGGTAGAACGGTACCGTTTCAACATGGGGCTGCTGATGGGTGAGTAGAGCCTGGGGGAGGAAGTTAGTTATGTTCTCTCTGGTTGTGCCTCCTAGTCTGGGTATATATGAAAGGAAGGTGGAGAATGAGCAATTGCACCTTATAAGTGTTCTGGTTGGGTCCAGGCTCTGGTTCCTGTGTCAGCTAGGACTTCTTTGGGGAGGAGGGGAAGAAGTGTTCCCTTTTGCCTCCCTGCAGCTTCTTGTGCCCTTGCTCCTAGGAGAGGCTCGGGCTGCACTCAGATGGGCAGATGGCAAAATGATCAAGCATGAAGTGGATATGCAGGTGGGTACCTCCCTGTGCTGAAGCTGGCCTGGAATCCACTGAGGGATAAAAGTGGGGAGGAGACCTTTTCTTTATTTTGGCTGAGATAGTGGAGTCCAGTAGGGAGGGGGGTAGCACCTGACTTGGACTTATGGGCTGAGATGAATCACTTTACTGTGAAGTTCAGTTTCCTCATCCTTCAAATGGGTGATGTGGCCTTCATCTGATATGCTGGCAAAGAATCACAAGTGTGTGATGACTAGGTAGATTATTTATCTTGATGCTGGGCCCACAGTTCTTTATAAATAGCAGCACTTGTTATTTGGGCCCAGTATAAGCCCCAAGGAAGGAAAAAGCATTCAAGGTCAGCAGAAACATAAGGAGCTGAGGTAGAAAATGTACTAGAAGCTGGGCATGGTGGCACATGCCTTTAATCTGAGCACACAGGAGTTAGAGGCGGGCATATCTCTGTAAGTTTGAAGCCAGCCTGGTCTATGTAGTGAGTTCCAGGCCAGCTGGGGCTACAGGGAGACTGTCTCAAAAATACCAAAATGTGCTAGATAGATTCTTCAGGCACTGCTGGTAGACATGCCAGGAAGCCCTTGGTTGGGTGGGTAGGGGGGTCAGAGAGGAGCTCCTTGAAAGACGATATTCCTGTGTATACCTGACTCTTATCTCTGCTCAGGTCCTCCACCTTCTGGGTCCCAAGATGGAGGCTGATTTGGAGAAGAAGCCCAAGGTAAGGTTGGGCATTGCTTAGGGTTCCAGGGGGTGGTGAAGTAGAAACATGGTGAAACTCAAGGCTGGAGAAAGGAATGTCTGAACCCTTGTGTTCTAGTTTATGTCTTCATTGCTGTGACAAAACACACTGACCACTACCAACTTGGGGAAGAAAGGGTTTATTTATCTTACATCTCCGAGGTCACAGTTTATCAGGGAGCCCAAGGTAGGAATTCAGGACAGGAACCTGGAGGCAGGAGCTGGAGTACAGGCCATGGAGGACCACTGCTTACTGGCTTGTTCCCCTGGCCCCTGCTCAGCCTGCTTTCTTATACAACACAGGCCCACCTGCCCAGGGGTGGCACTACCCACAGTGGGCTGGGTCCTCCCACATCACTCAAGAATCAAGAAGATGCCCCATGGATATGGCCACAGGCCAGTGCAATGAAATCAATTCCCCAATTGACGCTCCCTCAACCCAGATGTGTCAAGTTGACATTAAAGCCATCCAGCACACCAGTTCACAGTTAGATTCTGCATTCTTCCTAGAGAGAGTATGATGCAAATTCTGTTCTTCTCTTAGGTGGCGAAGGGTCGGCTGGAAGAAACAGACCGGAAGACCAAAGATGTGGTAGAAAATGGTGAGAAGCCTCAGGCTCCTATTGCACTTAGCTCCTGACTTCTGGGCCATCTGTCTGAACAACACAGGCTTCTCGGTGCCTAGACTTATTCATCCCCCTCCCTTTTCCTCAAGGCTGGGATTCCTGGAGTTTCCTTTGTTCTCTTTGTCCTGGGACTGGCCTCTGAGACTTGAGAAATTTGGCTATGTAGCTCTTATCTCTGGGAATTAGGGAAAAGGAGCCTGCTCAGATCTGTCCTGGCTTTAGGATATTGATAGTAGCCATGGATAACTTCCTGATCTGTATATGGTAGCCATATCCAAAAGACAAAGTTTTCTTAATTTCTTCTTCTATACAGGTGAGGCTGCTAGCCATACCCTGTCTCTGATGGAGCAGCTCCGAGGGGAAGCCCTTAAGTTTCACAAGCCTGGTAAGTGGGTATGTTGAAACCCTGGGGGCAGATTGGTGATTAGCATTGATACCTGTAGCTAGGCCCCTGGGGTCAGGATCCTTTGTCCACAGTCTAGTCAGCATACTTGTTCTGATCCTAACAGGTGAGAACTATAAGACTCCAGGCTATGTGACTACTACACACACCATGGACCTACTGAAGCAGCACCTGGAGATCACTGGGGGGCAGGTGTGTAGGAACTTGGCCAGGCAAGTGCTTGCTCTAGTGCCTGAACTGCCTCCATGCTGCCTCATCTCATCTATTACCATGACCTCTCTAGGAAAGGGCATCTGTTTCTTTAGGGTTGTCTGAGCTCCTCTTTTCTTTCATACCATCCTCTTTATCTCAGGTACGTACCAGATTCCCCCCAGAACCCAATGGAATCCTGCATATTGGACATGCCAAAGCCATCAATTTCAACTTTGGTTATGCCAAGGTAAGCATATGTCTAGGGCCCTGGCAAGCAGGATGACCACTGGCCACTCCCATGACTGGATACCAGAAAGGTGTCCTTCTCTTGTATTCTGTTCCATAAGGCACTGGCCATAGGGGGGACCACATGTGTACAGGTATTCTTAGATACATTGGGCTCATTGGGACGAAACCCTATTCAAAGTTGTAAATGACACCTTACCTCGGGCTTTTTTAAAGATGGTCTTGCTATGTAGCCCAGAATTATTATTAGTTTGGTCTTTTTTGAGACAGGATCTCGCTGTAGCCTCAGCTGGCCTTGCACTCACTATGTAGACCAGGTTGGCCTCTATCTCATAGAGCTCCACTTGCCTCTGCTTCACAAATGCTGGGATTAAAGGTGTGTGCCACCACACCCAGCTAATCTTTTTTGTTTTGTTTTGTTTTGGTTTTGGTTTTTTGGTCTCCCTGTAGCCTCAGCTGTCCTGGATTCACTGGCTGGCCTTGAACTCATAGAGATCCACCTGCCTCTGCCTCCCGAGTGGTGGGATTAAAGGTGTGGGCCACCATGCCCGGTATTGGTTTTGTTTTGATGTGTGAGTGTATTGCCTGCTTATAAGTGCACCCATGTTATGCAATGCCCACAGAGGTCAGAAGAGGGTGTCGGAATCCCTAGAACTGGAGTTACAGCCAGTTGTTAGGTGCCATGTTGGTGCTGGGAATTGAACCCAGGTACTCTTAAGAGCAGCCAGGGCTCTTAACTACTCAGCCATCTCTCCAGCCCCATTTTTTGGTTTTTTGAGACAGGGTCTCACTAGGTATCCCTCACTGGCCTGGAACTTGCTATGTAGACAGGCTGTCCTTAAATTCTTAGCGATCTGCCTGCCTCTGCCTCCTAGTGGTGGGATTAAAGGGATGAACCACCACACCTGGCATAAGAGAATTTCTTGAAGCCATTTTATTTAACTTTGTTATTTTTGTTATTAGGCATCAAAAGAAGACTTTAAAAAAAATTTTTTTTTTAATTTTATGTGTATGCTTGTATTGCCTGCATCTAGGTAAGTGCACCCATGTTGTGCAATGCCTGAGGAGGTCAGAAGAAGCTGTCGGATCCCCTGGGACTGGAGTTACGGACAGTTGTTAGCTGTCATGTGGGTGCTGGGATTCAAACCCGGGTCTTCTGCAAGAACAACCAATGTTCTTAACCGCTGAGCCATCTCTCCAGTCCCCAAGAAGACTTTTTTTTTTTTTTTTTAAAGTGTGTCTGTGTGTGTGTGTGTAAGTATAAGTGTGGGTTGCGTGTATTATGGTACACATGTAGGTAGGTCAAGGGATAAGGTTTGGGAGTCAGTTGGTTCTCTCTCCCGTAGATTTCAGGAATTAAATGTAGGTTGTTAGGCTTTGTGTTAAGTACTTTTACCTGCTGAACCATCTTGCCAGTCTGCATTTTTAATTTTGATATGCGGGCGCTCTGGGAATGTCTAAATTTGATCATCTGGACTAGCTGATGGATATGTGGGAGCTCAGAGATATTGCAACTCTTCTAGGCCAACAGTGGTATTTGTTTTCTGCGCTTTGATGACACCAACCCTGAGAAGGAAGAAGCCAAGTTTTTCACTGCTATATATGACATGGTGGTCTGGCTGGGTATGGAATGGGTGAGGTCTGGGCAGGGCTGGTGGTTTGGGGGTCTTCTTTGCTGGTGTTTCTTGCTGGCTGCTCATACTGTGTCATACTGTCCCAGGTTATACACCTTACAAAGTGACATATGCCTCTGACTATTTCGACCAGCTGTATGCCTGGGCTATAGAGCTCATCCGTAGGTAAGGCAAGGGCCATAATGTTAACCCACGCAAGCTGATCAGATCACGGACCACTTCTTCACTCATGCACCTTCTCCACAGGGGTCAAGCTTATGTGTGCCACCAGAAAGTGGAGGAGCTTAAAGGCCACAACCCTTTACCTTCACCGTGGAGGGACCGTCCCATTGAGGAATCCCTGCTCCTCTTTGAGGTGGGAATCCCAGAAGGACCTTTGTTTGTTGGGCCAATATGCTAAGGATGAGATGCTCCTGTGTTTAGAGGCTGTCTGAGCTCTTGTTCACCTTAGGCAATGCGCAAGGGCAAGTTCTCAGAGGGTGAGGCAACACTGAGAATGAAGTTGGTAATGGAGGATGGCAAGATGGACCCTGTGGCCTATCGAGTCAAGTATACACCACATCATCGCACAGGGGACAAATGGTGTGTATTGGTATGGGGAAGCATGATGAGGTAGTGGGGGTGTGGAGCGGGGCAACAGGCCATAGGGACTAGATGGTAGGGTCTACTGCCTATGTTCCACAGGTGTATCTACCCCACCTATGACTACACACATTGTCTCTGTGACTCCATTGAACACATCACCCACTCACTGTGTACCAAGGAATTCCAGGCGAGGTTAGGAGGATGGGGCTATGGGGGAGGGGGAGGGTAGAGCATGTTCCAGTAACCATTTTGTTTATTTTATATTTTATTTTTGAGACAGGGTCTCATTGAGTAGCACTGGCTAGCCTAAAACTGTCTACGTAGACTAAGCTGGCCTCAAACTAATAGAAATCCTTCTCTCTCTGCCTCCCAAGTGCTGCGATTAAAGGCTCAGTAGCCTTTTATTTAAAAAAAAAAAAAAAATTTGTTACTGGAGAGATTGGCTCAGCAGTTAAGAGCACTGGCTGCTCTTGCAGATGACGCAGGTTGGATTCCCAGCACCAACATGGCAGCTAAATAACCATTTGTAACTCTGGTTCCAGGGGAATTTGCCCTCTTCTGACCTTAGTGGGCATTATATGGCACAGGTGCATTTATATACATGCAGGCAATACATTCATATGCATAAAAATAATATTAAAAAAACTTGTTTTGAACATTTTTTGTGCATGCACCTGTGTGGTGTATGTGTGCTAGTTCATGTATGTGCACATTGGTGGAGGTCAGAGGACAACCTGTAGAAGTTTGTTCTTTCCTTCCACCATGTGGGCTCCAGGGATCCAGCTTGGATCTCCAGGCTTAGCAGCAAGCACCTTTATCTGCTCTGTCTGCTGGGCCATCTTGCTGTCTTTCAGTGCCTTTTCTGTGGTCTCTCTTTGGTCCTATAGGTGTCCAGTTCTAACCCTACTCTTCTATTCTAGACGTTCTTCTTACTTTTGGTTGTGTAATGCACTGGATGTCTATTGCCCTGTCCAGTGGGAGTATGGCCGCCTCAACTTGCACTATGCTGTGGTCTCGAAAAGGAAGATTCTCCAGCTTGTAGCAGCTGGTGCTGTGCGGTAGGTGTGGCCGTTGGGCTCACCAGAGGTTGTAGTATTAGTATCATGTGCTATCCAAGGCCAAGGCCTTCTCACTACCTCTTCATTTGTAGGGACTGGGATGATCCACGACTCTTCACACTTACTGCATTACGACGACGGGGTTTTCCTCCTGAGGCCATCAACAACTTCTGTGCCCGGGTATAGCCCAGTGGACTGGGTGGGTAGATAGGCCAAATGTGGCACTTTGTGGTTGTGGCTGTGACTCATGAGTTTTCCTGCCAGGTGGGGGTGACAGTGGCACAGACTACAATGGAGCCACATCTTCTGGAATCCTGTGTGCGTGATGTGCTGAATGACACAGCCCCACGGGCCATGGCCATCCTAGAGCCACTACAAGTTGTCATCACTAACTTTCCTGATGTCAAGGTGGGCTTGCCTCAGTGTGTGTGTGTGTGTGTGTGTGTGTGTGTGTGTGTGTGCAAGTAAATGTGGGTGAGTGGGTATGTGCCTGGGCATTGTGGTCCTAATATCTGGTGTAACTCAGATACCTATCTCCTGCTCTAGCCCTTGGACATCCAAGTGCCCAACTTCCCAGCTGATGAGACCAAGGGTTTTCACCAGGTTCCTTTTGCATCCACTGTCTTCATTGAGAGGACTGACTTTAAGGAGGTAAATAGGGGTTTGCTGCTATGTCTGTCCTGGGGGGTCATTTCATTTTCAACCCTTCTGTCCATCTCCTTCCCGCTTTACCATGAACCAATCCCTGACAGACAAGGGGTTGCGGAACCACTTCATACTTGTTGATCTTGCAGCTTCTGTATCTTCTATACTTCTTTCCTCTAGGAGCCAGAACCAGGGTATAAGCGTCTGGCTTGGGGGCAGCCTGTGGGCCTGAGACATACTGGCTATGTCATAGAGCTGCAGAATGTTGTCAAGGTAAGAGGCAACTGCAAGTCTTCCTACATAGTGCCTGCTAGGACTGGGATTTGTGTATAGTCAGCAGTCTTAGTGTGTTGGTTCCCTGGTCTGATTACAATCCTTCTCACTTCCAGAGTCCCAATGGCTGTGTGGAATGCCTAGAGGTAACCTGCAGACGAACTGATGCTGGAGAAAAGCCCAAGGCCTTTATTCACTGGGTGTCACAGCCTCTGGTGTGTGAGATTCGCCTCTATGAGCGACTGTGAGTGAACATTTTTGGAATAAGGAAAGTAAAAGATGGGCATTACATGCTGGAGCTTTCCACTGGGGACTTATTTTCATTCTGGCTACAGATTCCAGCACAAGAATCCTGAAGATCCTGCTGAAGTGCCTGGTGGATTCCTAAGTGACCTGAATACGGTAGGCTCACGGAATGAGGGCGGAAGGCTCATGGGGTGAGGGCGGAAGGCCTCCTGGCTGGATAGCTGCCCGAGTTCCCTATCTACAGGCATCACTACAAGTGGTGGAAGCAGCGTTAGTGGACTGTTCTGTAGCTCTGGCAAAGCCCTTTGATAAGTTCCAATTTGAACGCCTTGGGTACTTCTCCGTGGATCCAGATAGCCATCAAGGACAGGTATGTCTTTGTCTATAGGTGCCTTTCTGCAACAGTGATGGAGGCTGCTGGTCACTGATAAGCACTCTGCCTACATTTCCTTAGTTGTCACCAAATTAAAGTGGGGAGGGGCATTCATTCATGTATGACTGATGAGGAAACAGGCTCAGAGTATAAGCCCAAGCACAAATTTTTTTTTTTTTTTTTTTTTTTTGGTCTTTTTGAGACAGGGTCTCCCTGTAGCCCTAACTGGCCTGGATTTGCTATGGAGACCAGGTTGGCCTTGAACTCACAGAGATCCGCCTGCCTCCTGAGTGCTGAGATTAAAGGCGTGCGTCACCACGCCCGGCCCAAGCACAAAATTTTGTAGGGACTCTTACTCCTTGAAGAAGCAGGCATGTTTAGGGGTTGTTATAATCCTTATGAAACTAAGGCACAGTCATCCAATCGTTTCTGAGACACAGAGTTATTGAGAACCATGTTGTCCAGTTCTTGGTCCCTTACTTCCTCTTTTTTTTTTTTTTTTTTTTTTTTTTTTTTTTTTTTTTTCTGGCCTGGAACTCACTATACAGACCAAGCTGGCCTTGAACCTCACCTCCTTTTAGATGTGGGGTAAACTAGGAGGAGATGTCTAGTGAAATGAACCTGTGCCTTCTGGCCTAGTTCTGGGTTAGTGGTCATTTTTCTTCTTTTGCCTTCCAGCTTATTTTCAACCGAACTGTCACACTGAAGGAGGACCCAGGAAAGGTGTGAACTGAAAGCATGTGGACCTGCCTCATCCTGGAGGCTGGGAGTGCCCTCACCACCTCACAATAAAGAATAACTAAATCCCCCTGGAGTCTGTGTTGTTTGCCTTTTTGGCATTTGAGGGCTCTGGAGACATGGTCTGTGAATTGGCAGCTTGTACATGTAGTCTGGAAGAATAGGCTGCCCCCAAACAGAACCAGTGACAGCTTTGAAATCACTAGTGTATTTCATTCTCAAGGGCAGGGCCATGTCTGGGATTACTATCTGTACCTAGTCTGACAAATTTGAGGCCCTAAAGGGCTGCTGTATAGTTAGCCCAACAGAGGGATGTAGGTTTTTTGTCTACCTGGGTGGCCAGGCAGATGGGAGAGAGGCCTGGCCCCAGTCCGATCATTCTGCAAAAACCAGAGTGTACTGCCTGTCAAGCATAGTGAGATGAAGCATAGTGCTGTTGTGGCCTTTCAAATTTATCTGGGGACCAGTAGAGGTCTCCCTGGGGGCCTATATGAGGCTGAGAAGAAATTCCTGATTGAGCCTGGCCTCTCAGAAAATGACTTCAGAGACTTTGAAGCCTGTGGAGAGTTTGCCAGGACAAGAACAAGTGCAGAAGGCCCATACACAAAGAAGATGTGCAACAGGCTAGGTTGCCGCAACTCTGGGATGGTGTGTGCTGCCTGATGAGGCTGCAGGTGAGTGCCTGCAGCTTTAAAGCTTTCCACATTTTCCCTGTATACAAACACTGGGCTGTTCAAGGCCCGCTTTAAGGTGGACTTGACTGTGGTAAGCTGACTTCAGATGGCAGGGGAAGGCAAGCGTTCCTGAAGCTCCTTTTTCCAATACACGAGCAACTCCAGCGCTTTGCAAGAGAGGTACAGCTGTGAACTCTGGGCCCACTTTAGGCTTTTGTTGGGGGGGCCACCTTAACCAAGAGGCCGGAGCCCCGCCTTGCGTGAAGCTGTGCTGTCGAGGAGGTGCAAGAGGGAGGCAGTAGGTGGGTTCAGGAAGCATGCTTCGAGACCCTGAAGGGCGAGGTACTCCAAGGGGCTCCCTCCCAGCCCTAGTTCCTCCCTGGGGGGGAAAAAAAAGGCTGGAACCCGCTCCCCGCCCCACCAGTCTGAAGCGTTCCCTTTAAGTCTGGCCGGCAGACAACCTCAGTTCTCGCGGGATCCTACGACTCGATTCTCGCGAGAGGGGCATTCAGCTGCTATTGGCTGTAAGGGTTGAATGTAAGATGGCGCCCAAGGAGCTGTGAGGAGAAAATTCTGTCGGTCTTGGAGCAGCGGCGGCAGAACCGGGGCCCCAGGCGGCGAAGCGGGGCCGGCGGTTAGAGCGGAGGCAGCGGCGGCGGTGACGTCGCCGGGTGAGGGCTCTGATGGGGGCGGGAATGTGGCCGGGCTGAGGGACGGAGACAGCGGGCCCACCC